GCTGTAAAAAGAAGTTTTCGTCCCACGCACAACGGACACTAATGTTTTTGTCACTTTTTACGGAATCAAACTCAAAGTAAGGTCAGTACTTCCACGCTTTAAACGCTCATACTCTCTCCTACTAAGTAACGCGTTACAGTAACGCATCTCTCAGCCCACGGCCTCTCCCGGTACTTTTCAATGATGTTCAGACCCTCGGGGAAATATTTGCCCAAACACGCTGGAGAGGACAGAAAAGACAGGCGAGTAATCACATCTCTGGACTTTGCACATGTTCCTGGTAGACCTCATTCGCTCCCAGTAACAGTTCCTTCCTCCTCACAGAAAACCACCACACCTCTTGATGAGGAGCAGCTGTGCAGGACCTGGAACAAAAGGCTACCTGCTAATTATTAAAATACTCAAATATTCAATAAATATAATTAAACCTCTTGTGTGCAAATGTTATTGATGTGCGATGCTACATAAAGCGTGCTGTAAAGTGCTGTACAAGTTATAATAAATAATATTAGTAAGGGAGTCCTGTTCCTCACACATGAACATCCACTCTACCAACAACAGATGGTAAGTATGTTATTCTCAGTTTGTAATAAATAAAAGCAGGATGTGTGCGAGATGTTCGACATTTATTAGTTCATGAAGCCAGAAAAAGAAACAATTTGTTTATTTGCTACAAAGTAAAAATGATAAATGAAGTGTTGTAATTCCCCACGTTGGGGTTGCACTGTATTTGGGAGACTATTTGTTATTTGCACAACGGTAAGTCATCCAACAGGATAAGGACTAAGGTGCTTTTGTCTGAGAGGTTTTTTGCGAACCTCTAAAATTGGGTTTGTGTAAGTTGATGACAAATCATTTAACGACATCTAAACAGTTTATAATAACGGATCTAAGATGATGAAGATGCTGCAGGTCTCTAATTTAAGTCTGAAATTAAAGCCATCGTACTGCCTTCTGCTCTTCCCAGGAACTCTCATTTATCTTCATATGTATGAATGAACAATAATAATCTGTCAGAAGTTCAGAGAAAAATTCAAATGTTGTTTATTTGTTTCCCCCCTTAAAGAGAGTTGAAATAACTGGTTCAAAGATGTGCTGCAGGCCACTCCTGCATGACCTGAGCGCTTTAGGAGCTGAGCAGCATAAACATATACAGTTATGCAGACCACATAATACAAGGGTGTGGTTGTTGTCATGGTCTCAGCAGTTTTGCTTCATGATGCAAAGACTGTCCAAAAGCTTCCGGCTTGCCTTGGTGTGTGCCGGCTTCTGCAGATGTGATCTATAGAAATGTCTCCTGTACTCGGGATTATAGTGAACCAAGAATAGAGTCACGTACCAAACTCAGGTCTTTTTCTATACATCACATCACTGTTACTCAATAAATAAAAAGATAAATATTAGCTACGTTAGGCTGCTCCCAGGAAGTTGCCCAAGCAGATGGATCTGCATTTGTAACTTGATTTGACACAAGTTTACAGTTTTTATCTGGAGTTTTATCCTCAGCCACCAAACAAAAGAAGCTGAATTTTTTACATCCTGTTCTAATGTCACTATAATGAGCTCCCCGTCACAGGTAGAGGCGCGCTTTATTCTGCAGAGTTACACAGTGGCTGTAGTTCAGCAGACAGGAAATGGCTCCCACATTAAATTTCACACAGTGGCCGTTTCCAAAAGTTAGGCCGTTTTTACCAAAACAATCCAGCTGGGTGGAGAAGGCAGAGTGAAAATACATAATAATGAGCTGTGATGTGAGCTGCCCCTCAACAGTCACCTCAGCTTAAACAGCAGGACGCACAGGCCTCTGGAAAAATGTGTTTCCAGTTATGGTGTGTGTGAAGCATCTATTGTTTCCCTGACAACCTCAGGTAGCAGCTGATTCACACGCAGCCACGCCACACCGCCACACTAACACACTCCAAGCTAACCGAGTATTGTGGGTTGACTGAAAGGGCGCGGTGGGGCTGGACGCTTTATTGCTGGGTCAATGTTGCTCAACTAGCAGCCTGCAGAAGGTGTCTATAAGCATTCAGTTTATTAAGCTAGCAAAATGTCCCAGTCGACCTTGTTAAAAAGGAACAATGTAGACTCTCACAGAGGTGCGTCGTTAAACTGCATACGAATCAAAGCTTTGCCCGTAGATAATTCAACAGTACACCCTGATGCATGACTGGCATAACAAGCCTTTCTTTGTGCGCTTGTGCTGTTAGTCGATGCAAACCCCTCATCTAAAGTACATCTGATCTAATCCTCTCAGCCAGCAAAAGAAAATCCATAAACATAAATAATCTATATCTGCTGCTTCTGAGCTTGATCACACGAAGGGCAAGAAAATCGACTTGACAATCCTGGAAAGTTGTGAAGACTGCTGGGATGCTCCTCACAGAGTTCAAAGAGATGTGGGAAATCCATCAGTTATACATCCCAGACTTTGAATTCAGGCCACGCGGAGGATCAGCAGCCCCCCCTCCACCCCGCCCTTTCTTTTGATGCTCTGTTCTCCTGCTTCCAAGAAATACATGCATTGTGACAATCAACATTCAAGCTGCATCTTATTTCTCGCTGCCATCACGTTAGAGGAACTGTTTGCTTATCAGTTCGCTGAGCTAGTCGCTTCTCGGCTCCAGCGAGTCAATTCTGTTCCCACTTCTGAAAAAACTTTGTTGTTTCAGTCACACAGAAAAGAAACCCAACAGTTGGCATCATGCTTTTAATCATCATCAAACAGGATTAAAGAGATTTCAGAAAACTGAAGTGACACACGGCACGTTCACACTGCCTGTGTTTTCTTTGGTTGTAATAAGGACCCACATATGATCCTTTCCTGCCTGATGGTCTTGATGGGATTAAACTGGTGCAGACCATAGAAATGAATCTGTTTCCTGCTCTCTGGAGAGCCTCAGCCAATGATGCTAATGAAAAGGAGTAAGCTGCAAAGAAGCTCAACCTGTTAAATTGTGCTTCGCTCACATAAAAAGGGGGATGTCACATGTGCCTCTTCTTCTTCTTCTCTGCATATTCAGACATACAAGATACTCAAGCTGACTCCAAAAATGAAGTCTGATTGATATGATCAACAAAAACACCCAGAAATAAACTGCTTTTCAAATCAAGGATATTTATTATTTTTGAGTCATTTCTGGCCCATATGAGCCACAAACCTAAACAAAGGGTTTCATTCCAAAAAACAGTCCCAATCCGAGATATCTGCACGTAGTTTCCCACGGTTCGGATGGTGGATGTGCTGTTCTGGAATGAAACTCTTCAGAAACTGAGTACAAAAGAAGATCATTGCACAGTGTTACAATACAGGAGAAAGAAAGTTGCATTAATGGTGTGACAGAGTGAAAAACACCTCGTCAACCAGTAAATCTCGAGAGGCACATTTTGGGTTTAAAGAGAACCACTGGCTACGTTCACATACGCTTCAGGATCACTTCAACGAGTGGGTTTAATCTCCCATCTCATTCCCGGAGGAGCTACAGGGAATGATTTCCCATCAGGCGGACTCGGCTGAATCGCTGCTCTCTGAATAATGAAACAATACATTCGGAAAAAAGAATCGAGGTGAAATCTGCTGTTCAATCAGGAGAACTGATGATTGGTCGTGTAAACAGCATGTGATCATCCACCGTGGAAGGCCAGTGGTCCCACTCTGTTTCACAAACCTTGTCTCGCAAAAAGCAGAAATTAATTCTGGATCATAATTGACAGGACGAAAAAAATGTGATGATTTTATTTAAAGTGACCCAAATGAAAGTATTTCCTATTTTTGTACAGGTGCTACAAACATTCAGGCTGCTCTGGGTTTGCCCGAGGTGGAGCGGCGAGGCTCCCAACAAAGAGAACGGTTGTTGTAGTTGAACCTGTGCCCGCCGCGTCGGTCTGGACTGTTTATGAGACGGTGGTGACGGAGCTCGTGGGGACCTCGTAATGAGAACGCTCCGTGTTCCCACGTTGGCCAGGTTCCTGCGGGGACGGGCTGGTCTTTGAAGGAAAACAGTGGAATTGTAAACCAGCATCAGAGTGATCATACACGAGGAAGAGAGGTCAAACAGAGGTCAGAGGGCGCGCTGACACAGGCACAAGATCTGATCTGGGGGGCGGAGCTGTGTGGTGGTTGGCGTTGTGGGTTACCAAGGGTTACGTGACATTGTGACAGTAAAGAGTGATGTACAACACTCCCTGCTCTCTGAAACATTATTAATCCTGAATACGTCAGACGAGCTGCTCATAGCTCCTGATACTTAGTTCAAAACTGGCTGCATCATTATCAGTGTCCCTGCGCACTCGCAGGCTGATTATCGTAACGTCTGTGCTTCTCTGCTCACTCGTTTGAAGCATGAAGCACGTGCACATGTACTAATCACCTGAACACGCCTGCACAGGGCGTTAAAGTGCTCGTATGTAATGTTTACAGTTGTCAGGTTTCCGGTGTGAGGTCTAAACAATGTGTTTGGTAAATGTAACGTTTTCTCAGCCAACTGAAGTCTACAACGTAAACAGACTACGACAGGTATGTTACTGGTAATCTCACGAGTAACTTAATAAACATTAACCCTGAAAGTAGCATCAGTAGTACATCTTAGATTATACAACACCTGATGCTTTCCTGTCACTTCAGTCTGTGAGTGTAGGTGTTGGAATAGCAACAAAAGAAAAGACCAGAACCCACCAACACCTCCACCAACACCTCCACCAACACCTCCACCAACACCAGGTCCTGCTCCAGGTAGGCTGTGGCTGTTAAGCTTGTGGGTCAGGACTTAATCAAACCCACTATCAGCAATGTGGCATAATCTGTTTTGACCCCTGTTCACCTTCCAACACGAGCATCTTTAAGAAGATGATTCTTGGTTTAAAACTTAAACAAAGACGGGTACATCGATGCTGAGCAGACGTTTGGTCCCCGATCCACAAAACACTGAGAACACAGAGGAAGTGACAGCAGTGGCTCTCCACAAGACTGGTCAGACAGAGTGGGATCCACGGGGACGCCCTCTTAAAAGGCCACACACCACAAGGCGGCCCCACATGTCCAGCTCACAGCTGATTGGTGCACAGAACGCGGGTACAACAGGAGAGGAACGTCTCTTAAATATGCAGAGAACAGAGAAATCCAACATAAACCATGAAACAAATAAAAACAAAAGCACACAAGTAAACGTTTCGTACCATCAGGACAAGCTCTCGAGTCTGCAGCAGTCACACGTTCTGCTAACAGTCCCTCCAGGCTTCACTTGTTGATCTTACTATGGTGGCAGACACAATCCCCAAAATATATTCCACATATAAGACATGTTTTTAATTTTTCACTGAAGGCCTCTGACTGATGCTGGGCTGCAGAGTCCAAAGGTTTCTTCAGGTTTGTGGGCGCTGGCTGGTGCTGCTCCAGCGAACAAGACCAGCAGTGCTTTGGTGCAAATGATGCAGGTCACAATCGCTACACAAAAACATAAACTTAACGAGTACGACGTGGTTTGCATGTAGAAATAAACAGGAACAATTTTTAAACCATCGTGTAGATTAAAAGTCTCATCCAGGATGTGAAGTTAAGGAATGTGCTGACCAGCAACAGGGAGCACCGCAGCACATCAAGGCTTAAGGGCGTTAGAGACGGAGAGGTGGCACGCGTTCAGTCGCCCACGTCGCTGTCCTGATCTCCTATGAGCCACAGGAAGTGAAAGCTGAGCGCCAGCAGGGCGGTGCCCAACAAGTCCCCCAGCGCTGTCAGGTAAGGGATGGAGAAACTGTCTGGGTCTTTGCCGCTCCTCCATATTGAGTGCACCATCCAGTCTGCTATACACAACAACAGCAGGACCTAGAAGCAGAGAAGAGGAGGATTAGAAGCTTTCTTTGATCGAGAGCGTACAGGAAGTAAACACGCATACCAGGTGGGCTCACTGAGACCAACATGCAGCAGAAATCCATCATCCCTGTAGGGATAATATGTTTTCTTGCTCCGATTACAGGATTAGAGCATAGTTATTATTATTGTGGGGTCTTTACCTTACAATATAAGTGCCTCGAGGCAACTGTTGTTGTGATTATAGAAATATTAGTGCTGTCAAAATTAACGTTTTAAAATTAATCCTCCATCACGGTCAACGGGATTACAATTTTAACACACCTGGAGTGCAGAGTGACTCAAATCCCTGCAATGTTTCTATAAACACATTTGGGGCAGTTTGTCCAAGTAGAGTTACCGTCACACGGGCAGCTGGTCTGTAGTGACGGCAGCTGAACCAATCA